ATATAATATAATGTGCAATACAAAAATCTTAGTAATAATAATAAAAAGAAACTGAATCAGCCCATTTTAATGGGCCATAGAGATACCGACTCCTAAAGTCCTAATCCATGAGTCGAATCACAAATTCACAGATTGTTTCGGTCTTGAAATGTTGGGCCTAGCATGGCTTGTGTCCTGTGATTAAGACTGCTAATCCAACGTCCTAATATTTTCTCTTTAGAAACTCTCCCTCCACCAGTTTAGTAGACTTAATTTTAATTTAAAATATTTGAATTTAGTAATCCATTTTTTTAAAATATTATTTTATATATTTATTCTTATTTTACTTTTATTTTAGACCAAACCCCCAATTTAGCCCTTTAACTTATAGATTTTAAAATTATTGACCCTCCTAAAACCCTAAGCATATTAGCCCCTTAACAATATGATTCTCCTAAAACCCTAAGCATATTAGCCCCTTAACAATATGATTCTCCTAAAACCCTAAGCATATTAGCCCCTTAACAATATGTTTTGGGAGAATTCACTCATATTTAATAGATTTTAATATTACACCATTAGGCAAACATTACCGTGGCAATCAACAAAAATTTCTCCCTTAATATAATACAGGTCCACTCTAGTAAGTTAAATTATTTATTTTTATCAAGATTCTAAACAAGTTTTTTTTTTAAAAAAAAAATTATAATGATAGAGTGTGATATTGCAATAGTGGCATGCCCCATAGAATAGAGATGTTGATTGTGTCATTGATTAGGATGGAAATAACATTTGAGGAATAATATGATATTAAAATCTATTAAATAATGATAACTTCTCTCAAATCATATTGCTGACGGGATAATACCTTAAGTTTTTAGGTGAGAGGCTAATAACCTTAAAATTCATAAGTTTATGGGCTAGATAAGGGATTAAACCTTTATTTTAAAAATATAATTATAATATATATTAAATAAGAGGTTTTATTTAAGTATTGCTTAATTAATGTAAATATGAAATTTTATTATTAAATTATGAGGATAGTATAGAGTAGGTCATCCTTTTTTTTTTTTGAAGAATTTGTCTAAAAACTCACATTTTAATTAATATTCTTAAAATTAACTGTTGGATTAGAAGTTTTATTCATGTAGATTATATATGTCAATCAATTTTCATATTAATCTATTACTTACAACTCTTTAATTAAAAAACTTTATTTATTTACATATGTTTAATAGTATTAGATTTCTTGTAATCAACAAAATAATTAAGTCAACAAAAACAATTTGAAAATTGACATGCATGATTTTTATGAATAAAACTTTTAATCCAATGATTAGTTTTTAAAGATATTAATTAAAATATAAGTTTTCAGACTTCCCTCGAAAAAAAATTTAGAAAGATCATTGGCAAAATACTTTTCTCATAAATTATTATATCTCTATTTATTGGATAAAAAAACTCATCTTGCCAGTAACAATTATACTGTTAAGAAAAATTATTATTTAAGCCTTTTTGTAAAAAAAAAAGTAGTTGTTTAAATAGAGCTATAGGCGAACTCACAATTCTACCCTGTAAGTATAGACGGGACAAATCAATCTTTTAACTAAATGGAGGAAAAAGTTGTCTCATAATTAATTAGACTAGATAAATTATCATAAGTAAAAAAATTAATAAAAGTTATTAATGATTAAATTTGAGATAATTTGTCTAATAACAAGTAACATCATCTGAGGGTAGATTTTTAGGGGGTTTAGCCAGAGCTTTGTAGAAGTAAAAATTTTGTAGCTGGCACTGAATGTGATACTCATGAAGGAAATCCCTTCTCATCAGCCGAGTAAACGCTGTAGCGTGGAGCCGGTAACCAAGAGAGACTTAGAAAATGTTAACCTTTTTTTTTTTTGTATTAATTTTTTTGTATTCGATAATTATATTGGATTTCGATTAATCCATAATCGAGTTGCGTTGAACCCCATTACGAAAAAAACTCTCACAACGTCGGTTTCTCTATTCACAAGACTCGAACTCGAATTTTGAAAACTGACTCTTTTCGCTCGAATCAATAAATAATTGATAAAAAAAACAAAATGTCAACCTTTCATGTATAAAATGTCAGCCTTCGACATATAATACAAGGCCTTACCAAAATAAAATAGTCTTTGACTGATGACATGCATGTCCTGCATGCAGCAGAGTACCAGCAGATTCTTGTCATTTATTAATTTGTTGAGCCTACCATGTCTAATTGTAATTTTATCCATTTATAAGTATGATATTTCAAAATATTTATTTTATTTATAAATCAATATAATAAATATTAATTATTTTATTAATTATTAACTCTTTTTAACCGTTAAAATAATTCACCAATTTTGATAACCCTCTTAAATTTAATAGTGGCCATAATCATAGTCTAAGTTACCGGCCATAAATACATAGCCAAGTGTATGATACCATTCAAGATATGAAGCTGAAAATTTAATCCAAATTATTTACCAGAGTTGATACAACCACTTGAAAATCTTGGAAACCTAGAATTTAAAGGAAACATCCCAAGCTCCATTGCAAGCCATTCAAAATCCAACAAAGGGTACTAACTAGGATTTGCAAGGAAAAGGGCTAAACAAAAGCGGGATTGAAAAGAAATTTCATTGAAATACCATCATCCATCCTTGCTAACCAAAAACATATCCATTTCAGTAACAGCTATTAGTATGTGCAAACTAAAACCTCCCAAAAGAAGTCTGCTTTACATTGCTCTGCTAGTCTGAATCATCCTCTAAATCATCCTCTGAGTCATCCTCCGAATCATCCTCTGAATCATCTTCTGGATCATCCTCTAAATCATCCTCTGAATCATCCTCCGAATCATCCTCCGAATCATCTTCTGGATCATCCTCTGGATCCTCTATTATCACTTCCTCAGCTCTGCCATCAAATGCACTATCATTCCCAGGAGAAACAAGACTTTCCCAGCAAACATAGAGATTGTAGGTTGGATAACCAGGGAGCCCAAGAATCTCCACCCTTGTTCTTTTTTGGTTTTCAAAGTTATACCAATAAACCCAATTTCCTCCATTAAGCAGAATGCTATCCCCCTCTTTTGAGTATGCCAAAGGATAAGGCGCACTCAAGATAATATTCCCCACTCCCTGAATAGTGAATTCTTTCCTCCAACTACCACCTGCAACTTCTCCACCATTATCACTCACACGCAAGTAAAATTCTAAACCACTAAGCTCATGGCGTATTACAGGACTATAGAGGTTACCTCCTAAAAGCACAATTTCATGGTAGATGGCTGTTGGACCACAATCAGGCAATAGTGTGAGGTTAAAGAACACCTCGTTTGTGATATCAAAACCTACACACTTATCTTTATTTTGCCAGTAAAGAGCACCATTTGCATATAGCCCGACCCAGGAGAACAGTTCATCCTCCACATCTTGAATCCTCCTCCAAGAATTAGAATTCAGACTAAAAACCCAGACTTGAAAACAAACATCATCATCATCATTTGACTTCCAAACCTCTGAAATCATCACAATCTTATAGTCATTGGTGGCAGACACATATCCTAAACCAAAACACATAAATCTTTTGAACCCAGGATTAGTTTGGACAGGACAAGCGGGTAATTTCTTATACTTCTTAGTGAATGGATTCCACAGGGCAAAGTCCATGTTTTCATCCTTAACATAAATACCCAGCAGAAACAAACCATTGCAAGAACCACATACCGAGGTGCAGCGACGCGAAGACTTCAATGGGTTATTGAGTAGATAAGAATCGTCGAGGTTGCCATCAAACTCAGCATAACAGAAATCGGTGGTAACCGTGAAATCTTCGTTGTTGATGATTAGCTTTTGGCCGGTTTTGCTCTGGATTGACCTATTGAGATGATTCTTGGCGAAATCTTGGCTGTCAATTTCAGCACAATGTGATTTAGAAAGGCATCTGAACCGCAGAAGAGACGTCACTGGGAGGCGGAGGAGAACGTCGGTGACTAG